AGCAGAAGGGATTATGACATGGACATACCCCCTGGGGAGGTGATTACTCGCTTTCTGTCTCTTTGTCTCTCTCTGTCTCTCTGGCAAGCACACACACCTTATAGCAAAAAACAAAACAAAACAAAAACTCTCTCTAAAAAAATAAAAATAAGAAGACTGGAATTGACTCAGAAATAGGAACAATAAAGAGAATATAAAACCAAGCTAGAGACTTACACACATATGAAAATATGTCTATGATCTTTGGCTTGTGAAGCATTTTTATCTTTTTCATTCATTTATTTATTCATTTTTATTTGGATGTCCACTTGCCAAAGAGAAAGGGAGAAAATACTCCCAATGGGGTTAGTCATGCCATGCTTTCTTCTCCACTTTTTCACCCTTTCAAAATTTGGGGCTCACGTGCACACTTGCCCAATGTGCTTTTCAAGTCACCAAGGCTGAGATTTGAACCTATCAGTCAGCAATGTGGGATCTGGCTCCCTCAGCCACCAGGCTATCGGGCCAGCCTAAGCATTTGTTTCAAAGACACACATCAAAAGTGTGAGACACTAATATTCAAATACAAAGCCCACCTTAGAAAAAGTAAAAGGCAAATCACAAACTGAGATAATGTGTCTGCAACGTGTGTACATAAAGAAGTATTACAAATCTATGAGTGAAAAAAAAGAGCACAACCGAAAAATTGGCAAGATTCAATAAGAGCTCATTCACAGAACAGAAAACTCAATTGGCCAAGAACATATGAAAAGATGCTCAATCACACTAACAATCAAGGAAGTACAAGTACAGTTTAAAATTACAAGATAATTGACAAAATTATTTATTCCAACTATAGCAAATGTTAAAAATCTGGATTTTCTGGTATAGAATAACATGAGTGAGAAATCTGGCACCATCTACTGAAGATGTAAATGAGTGTATCCTTCAAGCCGGCAATAGTGCTATACGCTTTTTAGGTATATACAATAATGTACGGAGATAAGTACAAGGATGTTTATTGTGTATCATTTATAACGGCAAAGACAAAAATTTAAAAATCATCTAAATGTCCAATAGAGGAAATTTTTAATTCAAATATATTCATACAGTGAAATACTACAAAGTGGTTAAAATAAAGAACTAAAAATTCAGGTACGGGCCAATAGGTGGTGTGGTAATTAAGGCACTAGACACTCCCACATGGCCAGCCACAGTTTGAGTCCCAGACCTGGTGGTTTATTTTCTCACTTTCCTCCTCTCTCTGTGTTTGTGTTTCTGTGGTCAAATTAAAATAAAATTAAAATAAATGAATTAATAAATAAAATTAAATAAATAATTATTTTTTTTAAATAACTTAGGTACATAGCAACATGGATCAGTGTCAAAAACATAATATTGAGCCTAGTAAATAGTCTGTAGAATGAGGTGTGTGGTAAAATACCATTTCTATAAAACTTGAAAGAATTCATACGATAAGTTATTTATGGATACATACATATATGTAATGGTAATAAACATCCACAGCACTGAAAAACACAAAATTCAGTATAATTATCTTCTGAGTAGGTGAAGAGAATGGGACCAAGACATAGCGAAAAGTGGACTTCAAGCCCGCGCCAAGCGCGCCAGGCGGTGGGCGGAGTAGGCCCTGCGCTGGCCCACCCGTCATACGATAAGTTATTTATGGATACATACATATATGTAATGGTAATAAACATCCACAGCACTGAAAAACACAAAATTCAGTATAATTATCTTCTGAGTAGGTGAAGAGAATGGGACCAAGACATAGCGAAAAGTGGACTTCAAGCCCGCGCCAAGCGCGCCAGGCGGTGGGCGGAGTAGGCCCTGCGCTGGCCCACCCGGGCCGGGCTGCGGGTCTCTCCTCTCCAGGGCCGGCTGTGGCCTTCGGACCAGCAAGCTGAAGCCGAAAACAAGGACTGAGAACTTGCAACTGTAAGCAACAGAAAGAATCTTTAGCTGTCTTAAAACTAGTTGAGAAATATATTATGTAGAAGGACTTCCTCTGCCTATGGACAGTGAGAAGATGATGGTTACCAGCCCTGCATTGCCTGAGGGAAGAACAGGAACTACTCTACCATTCTTGAGGAAGCCAGATACCCGAG